TCCTTCAGGTAGAAAGAGTCTCTTTGGGTTGAAGACACAATTACAGGTACCTGAGCTTACTTTTCTGACTTCAGCAATCCCCTCACACCGGTGGTCATGGAGAAACTTTTCTTCTTTTAGAGTTACAAGTGTATTGTGTCCATTATCTTCTTATTTTGCTCTCCTGATTACATCTGTTTATGTCATTGGCATTGTTCAGAACTCATGGACGTATTTTCTAGTAAATTGCTTTTTAACCACTGTCAAAATACTGGAACAGCAAAATGTGGCCAGTGTCTGTTTATTCACAGCACCTTATTTTCCCCTAATAACTGCTTTCTTTTTCCTGTCATATTATTATGAACTTCAACTTGAATTATTGGGTCAGTGTGTCGAAAACTTAATCATGGAGAAAGGTTATCCAGTGAATATATAATGGTGCAATTCATGAAGAATAACACCTGGTCTTCCATGTTAGAAGAAATCTGCAAATTGTCTGGTGATAAAGATCAGCATGAAAAACAGAGGAGACATTTGAAGTGAGTGTTATTCATACAAGAGAAAACAATGCCTTAGGAGAAAGTCCTTAAGGTCTCATAACATTATATACTTACATGAGTGTGTGTGTATATGCATGTTTGGTAAAGTTAGAGGGTCAGTAAGGGAAAGGAAGACCATCAACAAGATAGTCACACAGTGAGTGCAACAGTGGTTTCAAATGTAGTAACAATTGTGAGGATGACCTAGGAACAGACAGTGTTTCATTCTGTTTTACACAGGTCACCATGAGTCAGAACTGACTCAGCGCCACCTGACAAGAACAATATATGTAAAGCTAGCTGTACAATTAAATGATCAGACAATTTTCACAATACAGCATTTTTTTACACCTGAGTCAGGTATTGACTTGGGAACAGATTTACTTTCAGCACAATTATCAGAAAGCCACCTATTTTAGAAAAATAGTGCCAGTAATGGTAGTATTTCTGGTATATGATTTAACCTACAAACCATGAGACAAATCAGGGCAAAAACCAAGGATAGTCACTGTGTTTGGTAATGGTGAAATGGGAACAAATTTATTTCTGACAGCGTGTTGCCTGTTTTTGACAGAAGTCACACAGTAGCGGACCTCTGTGAAAGTAATGAAAGCATTCCTAGTGGGAAAACTTTAATCAAGATTCCAAATCTTACTGTGCTAAAGAGAAATCCTCCAGCAGTAAATTCTTTTGAATGGTGTGAGTGTGGAAAAGGCTTAATGCATCACTCAGCACATAAGCATCATAGCGGATCTCACACTGGACGCAGTACCTGTCAGAGTAAGGAATATGGAGGTGCCTGGATCTGTCCTGCTCACCTAACCACTCCTCTGAGAACTCTTACTGGAAAAAAACCTCATAAATGTAAGGTCTGTGGGAAGGACTTCATTTGTATTTCAATGCTGAAGAAGTCTGTTACAACACTCACTGGTGAGAAACACTATGAATGTGATGAATGTGGTAAAGATTTC